TAAATAAAAATCAGCAGATTTTTACAAAATATAATTTATATTAAGACTCATCTTCAGGAGGAAAGCAGGTAAACTAAAGAGAGCACTCCCCTAATGTGGTTCTGTAACCGGGATGTCGACTTTTCTACTAGGTGGACGTTGGTTTCCTAGAGTATCTTCCCCTTTTTCCATCTTACACAGTCGCGCTCTTTCGCCGCGGAGGTACTCCAGACGATTCTGGCGAGTCGACACAGAAGCGTACTGCGCGGCACCGCTGCGGATTTCGCTTTCCGGACCTTCTGCCGCACCCTTTTCTCCCTCGGCGTGGCCGTCATTATCCTCGTCAACGCAGCGCTCAAGCTTGTCGACAAGCTCAAAGGAGTGGATATGATAGCCGTGGAGCTCCATCCACGCAAGAAAACGCCACACCCTCCGAAACGAGACTTCCGATGGTCCCGCCTCGGTAGGTGAGAGCTCATTGGATGAGTGTGCGGCGGGAGGGGCGTGCTTTTGCATAGCGGAGCGCAGGAGCTGCGTGAGAAGCGTGCAGACCACACGGTTCGTGGGCCTCTCCGAAGAGCTCTGCAATTCCACTGTGGTCTCCTCCACCCAGAAGATCAAAATCGCGTGTGCACGTCGAAGGCGTTGCGTCGGTGTGCTTTGACCGATGTCGTACTTGAGAAGCCGTACACCAGATAGGATGGCCTCGAAGTGATGCTCCCGCCACGTCCCTTCACGGAGGGCAGCGGCCATCATATCCTTCCACTCCTGCTCCGAAGGCGTTGTGATAACGATACGAACAAACGCCTCCGTGCATGCGTGTTTGTGCTTTTCCTCTTCTGAAAGCCCATCGAGTCGGTTAAAGATATTCAGCGCCAAATCTTCCTCGTCTTCGACGTCGTGGATCACGTCTAGAACGGGCTCGGGTGGGGAGATCCTACCGCAGTGTGGCTCTTGTTTAGCACCATTCACGAAGAATCTCTCCCCGTTCTCTCCAGGGGTGTAGTACCGCGCGTTATGGTGTGGAGCTGTTCGATAAGAAACCCCCAAGGACGACGCGGCGGTGGGAAAAGGCGCGACCCGCCGCCGTTGAACTGATCCACTGTGCATCCATGACCAAGTTGCAACACTGGCCCTAGCCAACCTCGGAGCCCTGATCATCCGCTGTACAACTTTTCCCTGGCCTGGTGTCGTTTCTTTTGGAGTATTCTCCCTATTTAATAATCCTTTGTTTAGTTCGGTTTAGGACATACGAAGCTTCATGATATGTAACAATTTTTTGTTGTGTGTATGAGGA